GAGTACGCAACATTCCTACTCAGTGTTTCAGTGAGCGTCGGGGGGAAATGGTATGGGGCCTTGTAGTGTTTTCTTCGAGTGCTCTTGGGGCTTCTTTGGGGCCTGTTCAGGGTGATTTTGGCGTTCCTTCGGGGGTGATGGTGCCGTCTTGGACGGCCTTGGGGCCGTTTGGGGGGGGGTTCGTGGGGCGATCTTGGGCCCTGCTGGAGCCCTTTGGGGGCCGTCTGGGGGCCATCTGAGAGCCTCGAGGGCAATCGGAAGCCATCATGTCCAGCATCGGCACCGGCGTCGTCTGGCTCCGTCGTGGCCACGGTCACCGCCGCTTGGTTTGGCTTCTTGTGGAAGGTCCCTTGTGGTGGGGCCCCTGCTGTAGCTTGGCCATGGCCCGTGCTGGCCGTCGCCGACCCGCGGGGATGATTCACGAACCGACGATGACCAAGACGGGCGAGGACCAGCATCGGTACCGACGCTGTCTGGCTCAGTCATGGTCGCGGCCACCGACCGCTCGCCCTCCCTCCGCCGGCGGCGGGGCGCCCCGCGGCGATGGCGGCGGGCCGCTGGCTGGAGGTGCAGGTGGAGGACATCGGGGAGCCGCTGGCGCCGCGCCCCGCGCGCGCGTGCCTGGCCGGCGGGTCGACGGAAAGTGTGTGTGTACCGATGCCGCCGTTCCTGGCCGAATCCTATGGTGTTCCAACCTAGTTTAGCCTCGACCACCAGGAAAAGATTCGAGCACCGGGAGGCGATACTCGTTCGACACTGTTTCGATACTTTTCTGGGAGCTCGAATTTATTTCTGGGATGTGGTCCTGTACGATGGAAACAACATACGCCGAGCCCATAATCAGGGGGGCCCAGGATCGGCGTGGTTAGTTCGATCAGTGCGGGGGGGGTGCTAAGGCAAGGGAGGAACAGCCACCCGACCCCCCTCGATTGGCGTTTCGTGGAGGGTCCTGGGTGTTTGCAAAGCAGCCCAGCCCTGTTTGACGCCTTCCTCAGGTGCGTTTGCAAGACGGCCTCTCTCGTCGGGGGGGCGTCTTCTGAGGGTGTCTTTAGATTCTGCGCTCTGCTGAGGGGGCGGGGGGTTTCAAAGTGGGTGCTGAGGTGCATTACATCTTGCCCAACCTAGCTTTTATGTGGGTTAGACGTGCTCCACGTGGCTTTAGGGGGGGAGTACAGGTCCAGGCTACGTGGGCGGAGCGCACTTAGTGGAACTATCTACCCCCACGAAGCCACTGCGGGCACTTGTACACCACCAGTATCCAGGTTAGGTCAAATACAACAACTGGGGCCCATCACGTAGCAGCGCCCTGGGCGACGACACATGATTTGGATTCTGGGCCGCCTCGTGAGCGTCGTCGTCGTTCTTGTGGAGATGATTTCACAATCCTCTACAAGGTCTTTCCCAGCGGCAGAGAACTACATAAATATTCGATTGTTCCTCACCGTTCTTTCTCTGAACCGTCGTCCCACACTCAGGGCACGCTTTGCTCCGATGGATCCGACTCGAGATCTCCGACTGTCCCGATCCAATTCGATTCCGACATTCTGACGACCCGATGCGACCCGATGCTTGCATGGATCTGTTGTGTATCCTGGCGCGGCCGATGCCATTCGTTTTCGACTCCGTGCCGATGCCGCCCGATCCGACGCACAGCCCGTTTCGATCCGACAATTAGCCAGGATTCATCGACCCCCAATTTGCTGATGTTCCAATTTTACTATAGCCTTGATCATTAGAAAGAACGTCGAGCACCAAGAAAGTATCGACGCTGATGGGTTTTCACGTGTCGGGTCTTGGGAGGCGATGCTCGTTCAGCACTTCGCCAGCGTGTCGGACAGACACTATTGAATCGCTTCGCTCATGCCGCCGGTCCGTATTGTGCCATCGCAGGCGTTCGCTTGCGCGTTCGTGGCCTCTTGGGGGCCTCTTGGGGGCCTTTTGGGGGCCTCTTGGGCTTCTCTTTGGGCCTCTTGGGGGCCTCGTGGGGCCTCCAGGGGGCCACCTGGGCTCTCTTGGGGGCCTCTATGGCCTCCTGGGGGCATCTTGGGGCGGAAGGCTAGAATTGGTGGTTCGTGTTCCCCTTCTGCGGCCCCTCTTGGGGCCGTCTTGGGGCCCTCCTGGGCGATCTTGGGCGCCTCTGGGACCGCTTTTGGGCCCTCTTGGACCGCCTTGGGGTCCTATTGGGAGCCTGTCGGGCCGTGTTGGGACGGTCTCTTGGGCCTTTGGGGCCATCTTGGAGCTTCGGAAGCCAGAAAACGAAAACGCGAAAAACGAACAAAAAACACAAGAAAAGTCAATGCTTTGTTTTGCCCACTTTGTGGGGTCCTCTTGGAGCGCTCTTGGGGCTTCTTTGGCGCCTCTTGGGCCGTCTTGGGGCTATACTGGGCGTCTGGGACCGCTCTTGGGCCATGATCCCGATTCGTGGACCTTTTTGGAGTTGCCTTGAGGTTCCTGGGGCTCCTGACAACCGCCCCGGGGAGTTCTGCCATTGAGCGGGCCTTGCCAGGACCCTGCCGGAACCTTGCCCGACCCTTGCCGGGACCTTGCCAGGAGTCGGCGGGATTTTTTCCCATTTGGGGACCCCAAGGGACCGCCCCGCGCGCGCGAATTGGAATGCACATCTACTCTGTGAACCAGTTGCCGGAGATCTTAGCACGCCTCTGGCCCCTGGCGGATTTCTGGGATGTGGCCCTCCTCAAGTACAGCGGGAACAACATAAGCATTGACCCCCAATCGCTCACTCATCGCCGATGGGGGCCCCATAGCCTGCCCCGCCCAGGACCGTTCGGCTTCGCTCTATGCCTTGGGCCTGGCGCCGATCTGTCGGCGGTGTGTCGCCGGTTCCCGGTGGGCGTCGCGCCTCCTGCGCCGGGCCCTCCCCAGCGTGCCCCCTGCAGGACCCAGGCCCCGGCGTCGTGTTCAATCGGGGGTGGACAGACCTCCTACCCTGACACGTCGATTAAGGAATTGGCCGTTTTCGGTTCGCGAGAGGGCGTCCGCCGGTTTCGGTCCCAGGCCGTTTCCACTAGAAGGAGGTGTACTAAAGGGAGGTTTGTCCACCGCCGATTCGAGGGGCCCCGTCGGGGCACCCGGAGGCCGGGAGCGGCCAGAAGCCGTCCGCGCCGCCGGTTCCGGCTGTTTTTCCCGCCCTGGAGCCGGTCCCCCCCCCTGAAGTTCTGAGGTGCCAACCTGCTTTCGCCTTGGCCACCAGAGAGAAGGTCGAGCGTTGACAACAGCGCCCGAACCTCGACGGTTCTCACGTAGTCGGGCCCTGGGAGACTCGTGCGGCACTGTTTCGACACTGTCTCGACACTCTTTCGACACTTTTCTAGGTGCTCGGAATTATTTCTGGGATGTGGTCCGTAAGTACGATGGGAGCACCATAACCCTAAAGTTGCCCCTCATTCAGTCCAAGCTGGCATCGGTGTGCATCGGGCGAGGCTTGGACAGGGGTAGATCGTTCCAGAGCGTTTCGGAACCCTCTGAGATGGTCGCGGCGCCCGATGCATCCTCCAGAACCGCCACATCTCAGATATTACCGATGTATCCTTGTCTATACGAGGAACAAATCGGTCTTACGTTGCCCACGAGGCCTCCAGGATTTTACTCGTCACTGTCCGATCTTGCCCTCGTCCTGGCTTCATCTTGCGCCGAGGTGCAGTCGGCGTCGCCGAAACACGCGACGCGCGTACAGACATCTTATCGTATATTCGGGGCTGGACAGAAGCCCCACCCTGACACGTCGATAAGTGCATTGTCCGTTCTCGGTTCTCGGGAGGGCGCCGCGGCCGTGATTTCCCAGGCTTGCGCCTGCCAGGTTTGGGCCCGAGGTCGTTTTCAGTAAACTACGTTTTACTAAAGGGGGTCTTGTCCATCCCCGTTTTATACATAGACATATGTGTATACGTAGGTGTATATGTATATATACATATATACATATGTATGCTCCGTGGCGGCGCTTTCTGGCCACACTGCTCGGGAAACGATCTGCTATAAGCGGTTCGTGCCACATGTTCGGCTCGGACGAGCGCCTCCGAGGATCGCCGGCGCGCCCGGGGGGGAAAGGCGAGAAGGGGCGGGTCCTCTCAGAAGGCTCGGGAAGTCCCCCGGCCTTCTGGGCAGTTTTCTGAGCCCCCCCGAAGACACACACACATTCAGGCGATCGCAAACATGGATCAAGGGGGTGTGGATTAGCGACGGGTCCCGTTTCCATGGGAAATCCCGGACTTCCGCCGCCGAGCGAGGCCCGCATTTTGGGGAGGGCACCTCCCCAGATCCATGGATTTGGCGACCGCGCGCCAGATCCATGGATCGCTAATCCATGTCTGCGCGCCCCCGACACACAAGACTGCTCAGGAGGCGCGATGACTTCTGAGAGGTCCCGCCGCCTTTCGAGGAGGCCTTCTCCTTCTCGCTTCCCCCCCTCGCTCGCCGCCTCCGAGGAGGGCGCACAGCACTAGCATTAAGTCGGGCATGTCCCTCTACAGGAGGAATATTCAAAAATAGTTAGCAATAGTCTGGGTACGCTTTTTTTGTCCACAATCCGCCTGTAGTACTGTAGGGGACGCGCCCGATCTAACACTAGTATGTACTTCTGCGTCCCATGCCGATCGGCGCGGGCCCTCGCACCCCCCCTCCCCCCCATGGAGTAGATCTTGTCTGCTTCCAGTGCCTGCTTCGAGAAGGTGGAGTCCCTCCCCCATAGGACGGAGCCACCCCCCCACACTGCCGCCCAATGCCGAAACGACGACTAAGAAAACGCTCACTGGCCCAGACATGCGACGTTCTGATTTTTTCAGGACGGCGCCCCCGGAAGTCCGGAGCCTTTCCCCAGGACCAGCTTTTCATCCTGAGCCGATTTTTGACGCTCCCGAGGCTCGGCGAGGGCCCCCAGGGCCCGAAAAATGTGAAAAACCGCCCGTCCTGATTTTTTCACGACGCGATCATGTCTGGGGGTGTGTCCTCCTGCGCCCCATGCAGCAGCTGGTTGCCGCCCCCAGGCCGGCGCGGAGCCGGGCAGCGTGGGGGCCCTGGCCGCGGCGGCGTTGGGCCTCGCGCGCGGGGCGGTGGCGGACGTCCGCCTCGTGACCGAGGCGGGGCCCACGCCGGCCTGGGCCCGTTCGCTGTGGTACGGAAGGTTCGCTCGGTGGCAGCTCCTGGGAGCCTCCCCGGCCCAGACATGATCGCGTCGTGGAAAATCAGGAGGGGAAAGAGCACACAGACACAATGAATCGTCGATTCCCAGGAAACTATGGGAAAATATGGGCAGTGGGAGAGAGGACAAAAACCCAGGAAAATTATGGGAAGATATAGGGAATATTTTTATTTGTGTGTATTTATTTGTGTGTCCTGGGGCCCCTTCAAAAAAGTCAGGACAGACAGACCGACAGACAGACAGAGGCCCGGTCAAACCACATGGGTTGGCCCGTCAACGGGCGAGGCTACAGCGCATTGGCCTGAACAAGCACTATTTTCGGGCCCTGGGAGCCCTCGCAGGGCCTCCAGGGCTCCAAAAAGAGGACGGGCGGTTTTTCATTATTTTCGGGCCCTGGGGGCCCTCGCTGGGCCTCGGGAGCGTCAAACGTCGACTCAGGATGAAAAGCCTGTCCTGGGGAAAGGGTCTGGACTTCCAGGGTCGCCGTCCTGAAAACATCAGGACGTCGCATGTCTGCGCACCATTTTGTCGGCTTCTGCGAATCGACGCTAGTCGGCGCCAACTCGACGCCGATCGACGCTAAATCGACGCTAGATCGACGCTGGTCGACGCTAAATCGGCGCTGCCTCATCCACTCCCAGGCGCTGATCGACGCCAGTCGACGCCAAAGACGGAATTGAGAGGGTATATCAGGCTCCCATAATTTACTGTCGAACCCTGGTACCCTGAACCATCGATACCCACCCTGCTCACCGTCCTGCCCATGACTAGGCATTGCCAGTCGGATGCCTGGGTATCACCAGGCGCGATCAAGACGCGGAAAGAAGACACAATGTGGGATCAGAAGGGGCTCGATGTTCCTTCGGTCCTTCCGTGGTTGTTCCTCTAGCTCTCCCCGTGCACCCCGCCGCCAGCGTTCAACGTTGAACACCGCCGGCGAAGCAGAATCGGCCCATCGTTGCAAAGTCTGGCGTTTCGGGAACGGCCGATCGGTCAAGGTTGAAAGACCGGCCGCGGTGTCAGGAATTAACGCCGAAGTCGGCACGACACGAACATGCCGTAACGACTCTCGGAGGGGGACGAGGTACCGATATCGCTTTCTTGCCTCTCGGTGCAATCGAGATGGGTAAGGAAAGAATGGGTACGAAGATCGACAGCATTTCCAGATCATGTTCAACAGGACTCGCTGCCAGTGTCGCCGCGGACGTTGTCCATTTGAGATTTGAGACAGAAGGCCGCCTGCCCAGCAGCGGCCGCAGTCTGCTGTCGACAACCAGAGGAGGTCGAGGTAACGATGCCTTGGAGCTGGCTGGGGGCCTGAGGTGACCCCGCGTTGGTTCCAGCCAGCATTAAGTCGGGCCTGTCCCTCCACAGGAGGGATATTCAAGCATAGTAAAAAAGTAGTCGGGGGATGATGTTTGAGTAGTTTTGATGTTAGTTGAAGTATTGTTGGGGGTGTTTTTAATATTTCCTCTAAAATACGCCTGTAGGGGAACATGCCCGACCTGCAGCCAGCTTCGAGGTGCTGGGCTCGACGAGGTTCTTGATGCCGTTTCGGCCTTCGGGGGCCGTCTCTGGGCCCCCGGGCCCGTTAAACACGGATCTGGGGCAAGTTCTACCAGATGGACCCTGGGAGGGGTCTTGGAATCGATTTTGAGCGTCTTTTTCTTTATCCCCCCTCTCTTGGCAGATTTTTTCGAGGTCCATCCAGTTCCAGAAACTTCCTTCACAGGGGCCGCGGGGGAAAAGCCCCTATGAACCTGGCACGGTACGTGCAGTGCCAGTGGTGGCGGCCCGTCTTTCCATCCCACCATCATACGGGGGATTCGAAGTCCTTGGAAGACTGGACGGGTTGGGCACGAGTGGGCATCATAGCCAGCTCAAAATCAAAAGATGTATAATAGCGTTATCATTGGCCTTTCTCGTTGGCATTCATTTCATGCGTAGCAGCACGCTCTCCCCAGGCCGCCTCCAACCGATACCTCTTTCCTTCCTCCCTCTGTGCTGCTCTCTCTCTCTGCCGCCGTGTCCCTTGTCGCGGTCCGTTTTGTTCTTCCCTGCTGCTTTCGGCGACGAGCCCGGGGGGGAATTGAGAAGGGGCTGGCCTTCTCAGAAGTCGGCGGAGCTTCTCAGAAGCCCTCGCGCCTTCTGAGAAGCTTTCTGCGTCTTCGGTGAAGGCTTGGGAAACTTCTCAGGCGGCCAGAGGCCTTCCAAGCCTTCTGAGAAGGCCCGCCCCCTCTCACTTCCCCCCCAAGTGCGCCTCCGATGCTTGCTTCCTCTTTCTGCCGTCGCTGTTGCTGCCCATGCGCAACCTTGGCCTTTTTGAGGAGCAGCGTGAATACGTGGTGGTCTCCTCAACTGGGCTCTAACATCAGAACATTTCAGAGCCTCTACCCTGCCCTCGCCTTCCCCTGCCTTGGCCTTCTGGAAGGCCCTCGTCGCCATGGCTGGATTCGCCTCGAACTTCTGGTCAGAACGCATCCCCTTGAGACGTCCGTGGAGTAGCGGTATCGGTATCTGTTGTTATTTGCAGATTGCGGACGTCCGATCAACGTACTTTCTCTGAATTCCACGCGGGTCTCTGGGATCGGTGCTGGGATCCCTGGCGGTGCCTCTCGCGCTCGCCCTGCGCCAGGGAGGGGAGTCCAGCGCGGATCCAAGAAGTCCGCGCGGAGCTCCGGAAGGTGACTTCTACGCAGTTTCTGCTTTGCTAGACCTCGATTCCAGGGCAGGGTGAGTCTTCGACAGGTTTCGTCGGCTCCAGGCGCCTGCCCTGCCCCAGGATGCGCTCTGGCAGCTGCGCCTCGCCGAGCGCGCCCGGGGGGTGCTCTTGGCTCGTCCCGAGCGGCCGCCGGAGACCAAAGTCATGGCTCGACGCAAGCGAAGCCGGGGCCCTTCTCGACCCGGTCCCTCCGACTCGATGTACGCGAAGTCGGGGCCCGTCTCGACCCGATCCCTCCGTCTTGCTACCGATGCTGGCTGGCCTCAAGCCGGGCATGTCCTTCGACAGGAGGGATGTTCAGACACAGTCCAAAATCAGTCTGGGGACGATGTGCCATTCGGGTTCACCCTCGTGGGCCCCTCTCTTGGGGCTGTCCTGGGGGCCTCTTGGGCCCTCGTGGGGGCTGTCTCTTGGGGCGATCTCGGCCCAATGCTCGCAGATGGCGCGGTGTTGCGTCCTGAGGTGCGGCCGATCCGATACGAGTCCGGCTCCGTGCTGATGCGGCACAATCCAGCGCACGTTTCTGCGACTTTCTGCGAACCCTCCCCCTGCGGGTCTACTCGACACTCTCAGGCAGGCCTAGGATGAGGATAACTCGCTTAAGAGTGTTTTGGAACGCTCTCAGGGCGTTCTGTATCGTGTGAGACGGCCGCGGCGCCCGATACATCCTCTGGACCCGCCGATTCTGCCTTCCTCTTTCACTGGGGTATTGGACACCCCCGCTGTGGTTCACTTGGGTCCAGACGTCCCTCGAATTCTGCACCCTGGCCGGCGTTGCAGAGATCTGATCTGCAGGGGCAGGGTGCACATGTGCTTGCCAAACGTTGCTGGCAGATCCGATTTTCCGATTCGATGCGGACTGATCCCTCCGAGGGCGGGTGGGAGAAGACCGCCGTCGCCGACCTGGCCGACGCTGAGGCCCTCGAGAAGTTCCTCGAAAGCAACGAGGATCAGTCGAGCATCGCCATGAAGAGACGGGGTCCCGAGAGGGGCCCTGAGGCTTGTCAAACACCAGTTTTGGGATGAAGCGCTGTCCTGGGGAGGATGATCCAGGGTCTGGGACCCGCTTCTCCCTCGGGACCCGTTCTCTTCATGCCTTCTCTTCCCGCTCCTCCTCCTCCTCCTCCTCCTCCTCCTCCTCCTCCTCCTTCTCCTCCCCCTCCTCCTCCTCCTCCTCCTCCTCCCCCTCCTCCTCCTCCTCCTCTCCTTTCCTCCTCCTCCTTTCCCTCTTTCCTCCTCCTCCTCCTCCTCCTCCTCCTCCTCCTCTCCTCCTCCCTCCTCCTCCTCCTCCTCCCCCTCCCCTCCCCCTCGCCCTCCCCCCCCCTCCTCCTCCTCCTCCTCCCCTCCCCCTCCTCCTCCTCCTCCTCCTCCTCCTCCTCCTCCTCCTCCTCCCTCAAGCTCAGGGGCGCGGAGCGCAGTAGTACCTTTTTTTGGCTCTCACTGGTTGCTCCAGCCCCGGCCCAGTGCCTCCACGTGGCGCTTGAGGGGCACGTTCAGCGGTTGGGACGTTCAACCGTACGAGCGTTGGCAAGATCTGGGCGAATATCTCCTCGAATTCGTTCTACTTTTTCGTGCAGGTGCTAGGTCGGGTCCACTCGGTTTCGACTGGTTCCTCGGCCTGCCGCACCTTGTCATGAACTCGTACATCGAGTTTGTTCTATGGTGTATGGGGTGCCTCGGGCTGCGAGCCCACCTTACTTCCCCTTTTACAGTATTTGGGGTGCCGCGGGCTTCGAGCTCACCTAAACTCCCCATCGCAGCTGTGGAAAGTCTCTAATTTGGTGCTTCTTTTATAGTACTGTGAGGCACGTTTGTGTTTGCAGGGGCGAGGCTGGCTGTGGAGGAGATGATCCCTATTCTTTCGTGATGGGTGGGGTTGCCTGACAAAGTCCGTGTGGGTATTCGCGGTGGTTATACTCGCGTATTATTACTCGTTATGGGCCTTATTTGTTTGAATTCATTCCAGCTTAGCCCGTTGCTTCCCGAATGGGCCGTGTTGTTTCCAACCACCGTAATTTTATGCTACTGCAGCCACTCTTTTTTGTCGGGGACCTGTGTGAAAGCTCTGGTGATGGGGACTGACTTTCCTCTTGTACAACTTCCACCCGTTCATCGTCCTCTGAGTGGCGACAGTCTCGGCTTCGGATTGTGACATCGTCACGGCGATCTCTCTCCCTCTCTCTTTCCTCCTCCTCCTACTCCTCCTCCTCCTCCTCCTCCTCCTCCTCCTCCTCCTCCTCCTCCTCCTCCTCCTCCTCCTCCTCCTCCCCCTCCTCCCCCTCCTCCCCCCCGTCCTCCCCCTCCTCCTCCTCCTTCTCCTTCTTCTCCTTCTTCTCCTCCTCCTCCTCCTCCTCCTCCTCCTCCTCCTCCCCACGATGTTGCGGCGGCCGCTCCAGCGTTTCTGTTCAAGACTGAGCGCGGCTAGGAATTGGACGATGTCGGACGATCTGCTCTCTTTGAGAGCCGCGATCGCTCAAGGTAGAAGGATCCCCGCGGTGTCAAAAGCAGTCGCAGAGGCCGCCACGACAGGGTCCAGCCCTGCCCTGCTTCCCCGGTCCCCGTTTTCGCCACCCAGGCTGCACGTCCTGGAGAGACCTCGTCGCCACGGCCAGATTCGCTTCGCCATCTTGGGCGGAACCGCCCGATGAGTGCACCTCTTCCGGGTGGCTGGCGCCGAGGACGCCCTACTTTTCGTAGGGACTTGTGGGGGCCTCTTCAAGAGTGTCCGCAGTACGTCTAGTGCAGGGAAGGCGATGGGACCTGAGGACACTCCACTTCGTGCCTAGGCACTCGGATGGGGCTCGACGTAGTTTGCATGTCGTTTTGGTCGGCTAGGGGACCAAGGAGTCCAGGGAAAGAATTCGGTGTATAGACGCTGCAGCGTCCCACAGTTTGAGCAGCTGGGGCGTCCATGCACCCGGCTCCTTGGTCGAGCACAAGATGCGGTGCATTCGTCGAGCCCCTTCCGGGCAAGGTGGCGGGTTCTTGCTGCTGCCCTCCGCTCAGGACGACTGCTACGTGGAGGTCGGCCTGCGGGACCCCGCGGTCGCGTCGCTGTGGGACGGCGACGGGTGCCTGCTGGCCAGGACGTGCCTCGTCCACCTGTGCCCCACCGTGCCGGACGTGGTGCGCCGTTTCGAGGAGAGTGTTTTTTCTTTCCATCTGGGCCACAACGCGCGTTATGCCCCCGCCCCCCCTGCCCCTCTCCCCCGTAACGTGACGCTCCCCCCCCAGTGCATCCCCGTCACTGCCGCAGCTGGCAGCACAGTCTGTCACAGTGGGGGGGCAGGGGAGCTACGTTACACGCCCCCCCCCGCCCGCACCCCCGCTCCCCCCCCCATGATGCCCGTTATCGGTGCGAATGACACATGTGCTCGAGGAGCTGCTGGAGGTGCGCCTGCCCAGCCCAGACTGCATCACGTTCGCCGTGGACGATGACGAGGACGCCTGGCAGCGCTTCGACGGCGGCTCCCACGGCGCGGCCCTTGCGCACGCGCAGGGCGGCGGCAGGGTCACGCTGCGCTGCGCAGCGCCCCTGCACGCGGAAGCCGCCGAGGTGGTAGAGGGCAGCGCCGCGTCCAGCGGCGCCAGCGGCGCCGGCGGCTACGGCGACGACGGCTTCGAGGAGGACCAGGGGTCCAGCGGGCGCTGCTCCGCACGCGCCGAGCCAGCGGCCGCCGTGCCCAGGGCCGCGCCGGCTCCAAGGCTGGCGGAGGGGGCCGAGGCGGCCCTGGAGGCGGGCGGCTGCCTGCCGCGCGCCGCTCCCAGCGCCCCGCCTGGCGCAGCGCCGGGCACCGCCGCCGCCGCCGCCGCCGCCGCCGCCGCCTCGGAAGCGGAGTGGGCGCCGGCGGGCGGCCGCGCGGGGGACTCGCCGGGCGCCTCGTCTGGCACTGCGCGTGCCGCAGCCGTCGCCCTGGCGGGCGCGGGGAGGCCTTACGCGGGCAGGCCTGGCGTGCTGCCCGCTGCGCACTGCGCCGACGCGGTGACGCAGACGCTGCCCCAGGCCGAGGCGGCGACGCAGACCGCGCCCCAGGGATGGCTGGGCCACCCGCGGGCGGCAGCGGGCGCCGCCCTGGGTGCTGGTGCGCCGCGGCAGCCGCGCGCTGTCGCAGAGCCGCGGGGGCCGCCTGGGCCTGCGGCCTCGCTGGGCCACCGGGCGGTGCAGGCGCAGCCGCCGCTGGGGCGCGCGCTACGGCCCGTGGCGACCGCCGCCAGCGGCGGCTTCGGGGGCGCTCGCGGCGCCCTGCCGGCCACGACGGAGGCCATGCTGGTGGAGCAGCTGGCGCGCCGCTTCTCACTCGACGCGTCGTGGGCGGCAGCGCCAGCCGCGCCTCCCGCGAGGGCGGAGCGGGAGGCCTACAGGGACATGCTGCGGCAGGTGGCCCTGGGGGCCCTCGACCCCGCCGCGGCGCACGAGGCCTCCGAGCTGCTCAGCAGCCGGTGGCGCGCCCCTGTCAGCTCGGTTGAGGCGCTGCGGGTCTTCCGCAGGTGCCTGCAGGACATCCTGACCGACGACCGCGTGCTCGACGTGGTGGAGCACCAGATGGAGTGCCACTTCGCTGGCGCGGCCCGCGCCCGGGAGCAGCCAGTCTTCTGAGGGCCCAGCCAGATCTGCAGGTGCACGTTCTCGAAGCTCGCCCAGAGGCCCGGCACGGCCTTGCCCTGGAGCATTGGCCGCGCGGGCAGCGCGACGACCCTGGCCTGGCCCGCTCGGCGCGGCAGCCGCGCGCGGAGCTGGCTGGCTCTGCCGGCAGCGCGTCATCGGCGGCCCCTGCTGGACGCGGCACGCCAGGCGCGTGTCAGTCAGGAGGCGGCGCGCACAGCCCCGGCCCCCTCGAGTCGTGGAAGACAGAAAATTGCGAGAGGAGGGCTTCCGCTCCCCCTCCTCCTCCTTCTCCTCCTCCTCCTCCTCCTCCTCCTCCACCTCCTCCTCCTCCTCCTCCTCCTCCTTCCCCCCCCCCTCATCTCCATCCCGCTTGTTCTCCTCATGCACCTCTCCTTCCTCCTGGCAGGGGGGCGCATGCGGATTTCTCCTCCTCCTCCTCCTTTTTCTCCTCCTCCTCCTCCTCCTCCTCCTCCTCCTCCTCCTCCTCCCGTGTATACTTTTTTTTGTTTTCCCGGGAAGCGGAACAAATACACACCACACCACCCCAACTTCGTCCCCGACCCTCAAGAAAAGTCCTGGGATGGAAAAGCAGCCCGCCACTGGTAATGTACATGCTCCAGTCTCCGAGCCAGGCCCGCGCTAGTCTAGGCAGCAGCCTCCTGCTAGGAGGAGTTCCCCCCTCTCCCTACCCTCCACGCGGGCGTGTCCCTTTACAGGAGGAGTATTCGAACATAGTCAGAACATATTATTGGGAGGATTTCTCTACTATTTTTGACTATTTTTTATATTTGTTTATTTCCTATTTCCCAGAATCCGCCTGTATCCGGACAAGCCCGACCTCACCCAAACCCCTGTGCGCGCTGCCAAATGCAGGCGTAACTCAGCCAGCGCGCCAGATCTTGCAGGATCCTGCAGAGCTAGGGGTGCACTGACCCAGGTTAGCGCGCAGGATCCTGCAGGATCCTGTAAAGCCTGACTTGCCCGGGTCCGCACTGACCAGGGTCAGTGCGTCCCCGACCTCTACCTCCACCTCGTCCCCCGTTCGAATCGGGCGTGGACAGAACGCTCCTCCAGATTGGAGCCGTCTGGGGATCCGGGGTGGCCGGGGTGGGGGGGGCAGGCTCCAGGAGGGGCCGGAGACCGTGCTCTGTGTCTTGTCTCGGCCTCGGGAGGCCGCTCTCGGGCCCCGAGCCCGCCAACTACGGATCCGGGGTGACAACCTGCCCCCGGGAAGGGCTCCCTGGCATCGCTCGGACGTGTGCATCTTGTCTCGGCGAGAGCCATCGAGGACCATCCTGGACCATCGAGCAACAAAAAACACACGCGCGAAACCGAAAAGTGCACGGGAAATGGACGTCCGAGCGACGGCAAGGTCCGGGGACCGATTTTGAGCGGATTTGGAGTCCGCTCCCCTCCCTGGCCGATCTCTTCGGGCCCCCCTGCTGGTGCTTCGACCCGCAGGCCGCCTCCGAAGCCCCCGGAAGGCTCGACAGGCCATCTGCACCAGCTCGCTCGACAGCGACATTCGGGTGTGCCAGTGCAGTCCCTTGACGTGAGGCACCTCCCTCTGCCTTCCCCCCTCTGTCAATTAAAGCTGTGCGCGGCCCGCTTAGCTTCGACCGGAAGAGGTGCGCCCTCGACCCGCGGATCAAAAAAGCCGTGCAGTCCCCGCTCGGTTTCTCCAATCTCGAAGAAGAGCAAAAACACATAAACAGAAAACTTTTTGGCGCTCCGCGCCGCGCCGGGCCCCCCCGGCGGAGCCTCCAGCGCCGCCCCTGGCGCGCTCCGCGCGCCAGGGAGGGGGGTCCAGCGCGAACCCAAGGAAATCAGCGCGGAGCGCCAAACGTTTATGCTTATGTGCTCCTTCTTCTTCTTCTTCTTCTTCTTCTTCTTTTCTTCTTATTTTTCTTCTATTATCGGCGTGCGTGTCGCTGGATGCATTCCTTTGTCTCTGGACGTCGATGCGCTGCCCTGCGGAGGGTGCATTCGGCGTGCGGTGCCCGTGCGCACTTGGAGTGCCCCTTTGGCAGCCTTCACGAGAGGGCGCCTTTCAGGAGGAGAAACAACACACAGATGCGATTAATCGTCGTTCCCCATGATGATATTGGAAAATATGGGAAGTGGGGGGGAAGACGAATACCCAGAAAATATGGGAAAATATGGAGAAGCCAGAGATTTGTGTATATTTATTTCTGTGTCCCAGGGCCCCTTGAGTCTTGCGGCAGGGGGGGTCCGTCCACCCCCGATCGAACCCGAAGAACTCCGCATAAGCTCAAGTTGGGCGTGCCCCTCGACAGGAGGAATATTCAAAAACAGGGTAAACAACCTCCATGGGAACGATTTTTCCACTCTTTTTGACCACAGTTGAGCATTTGTAGATGATTTGTCAGTTTTCATCCAAACTCTGCCTGTAGGAGGACATGCCCGACCCAACGCTGGGCCCCCCTGGCGGCGCTTCTGGTACCGCCCCTGTCTGGCGCCACCCGTGGCGCGCTCCGCGCGCCAGGGATGGGGGGTCCAGCGCCGATCCAAGAAGTCCGAGCGGAACCTTTGACAGTGTCTACTTAAAGTTGGGGCACATGCCAAGAAACATCCTGCTTGCCTCCAGGGTGTCATGGGTCTCTTGGCTTTCGCTGGTTCTGCTGTGGTAGGCGTGACGTCCCCCGACCCAAAACTCCAGGGGCGCCCTGGGATCTCAGGGCTGGGTTTCTTGTGGAACGTTTCTTATGGTCGGGCCTCCGCTGTATTCAGGTGGGAAAAAAACACACACAGACATAATTGATTGCTGACTCCCAGGAAAATATGGGAAAATATGGGAAGTGGGGGGTAGACAAAAACTCAGAAAATATGGGAAAATGGTGAATCCTGGGATTTGTGTGTTTGTGGGCCCCTTCACGTCCCGAGGCCCTCCGAGGAGCTCCGCGCGGATGTTTGCTCCGCAGGCTGTGGACTCCAGGGGTCCTCGCTTGGCCGCGGGAAGGTCAAAGCACGACCGCGGACGAGGAGCGCCTGCCCCAGGGAAAGGTCCAGACCTTTTCGGGAGACCTCGTGCTTCTTCTTGGACGTGCGTCTGTTTTGTCGGCGAGGGCCACTGAGGAGCAGATTGGATCCTCGCGCCAGAGTGTGAAAAAATACGCACGACATCGAAGCCTGCACGGGGAAGGAACGCCCGAGCGATGGCAAGTTGGAGACCTCGTAGTTCAGGTTTCCAGGAGGGGGAAAAACGCACGGAAAACCATGACGCGCCGACTCCCAGGAACATGTGGGAAACCATGGGAAGTGGGGGGGAAAACGAAATCCTTGCAAAGATGGGGACACAGAGGGAATCCTGGGACTTGTGTGATTATTTACCTGTGTGTCCCAGGGCCCCTTGATCCGATTTTCAGAATCTCGAGACCTCGGATGCCTCGGGGCGGCGGCGGACCATCTCGCCGATCTCGCCCTGGCCGACCCTTGGCGCGCCCATGCTCGGTGCACAAGAAGGGCCCGCCTTGGCGGAGCCGGGCGGGCGCAGCTTGAAACCGCCGCGCTCCCCCAGCCCAGGGTGGACGCAGGCCAGGAGCGGTGCAGTGCCAATTAGGTTGGGTTTGTCCTTCTGCAGGAGGAGTTGCCAAGCACAGTAACAACAAAAATGGTCAGAGGACGGTTTTTCGATTACAATTCGACTACGCGTTTTTTAGGAATAGTCAAGCACAGTAACAAATATAGTCAGGGGACGATCTTTCGATGACGTGTCGACTATGTCTGAGCATGTGTTGCCCATTTTTAACATGTTTTCTCCCAAGTCCGCCTGTAGGAGGACATGCCCGACCTAAGCGAAGTGAGGTGGCCAGTTGAGTGACGCCAGACACTCGGGCAGACCGAAAGGGGGGGATAGGGAGAGGGGGGGTTACGAAATCCGCTGCATGCAGCCGGTCTCGGCCCCGCCGCCGGGCCCATTTCTCGATGCATGGGCGCCACCCGGCGCCGGGAGGCGCCGGGAAAATCAGCTGCGCCGTGACCTTCCAGAGTGCTAAGAAATATTCCTCCAGACCTATAAACCTATCTGGGCTGCCTAGAACCTCGACAGGAATTAAGATGTCGAGGTCCTGGTGCTATTTTTTAGCCCTCCTGGAAGGTCAGGGCGTGAGCTGATTCTCAAACCCCCTCTTTGCTATCCCCCCCTTTCGCCCAGCCCGAGACGCGGGGGCCGTCTGCGCCGACGCTGGCGCGCGAGCTGCGCGGCGGCGGCCCTGCAGAGGGCGGCCGGGCCAGGGAGCCGCCCGTGGCCCGCGCCGCGCCCGCCCGCGCGAGGTCGCGCCCGAGCGCCCTCGCTTGCGGCGTGGCGTGCCACGGTGGCGGTCCGCGTAGGCCACCGCGTGAGGTCGCTGCGTCATCTCGGCGGCAAGGCCCGCTTTTGGTCGTCGCTCAGTTGGCGTCCCCCGACCTGCCCCCCTCCTCTGCTCCTGCCTCCTGCCCTGAGTTCATGCGTGCGCGTGGGGGAGGAGGGGGGAATCCAGCGTTCGTGGAGCGCGACCCCATTCTGCTTCAGGCCCCTCCGCAGCTCAATCGCTGAGAGGTTGTCTTGTTTCCTTCGGTTTCAGGGGGCGGTCGGAACCTCGTGTATTGTGGAGGCCTCACGGCCAGTGCTGCCGACCTTGTAGGCGGGACCTCTCTCGGACGATGACGATGCCTTCCAGGACCCCGGGGGGCGGCATTCTGACCAATGACCCTTCCGCACTCCAGGAAGGCTGCATTGTGGCCCAGGACAACCCCGCAGGAACCTCTCCCTCCACGCCCCCCCTCCCCTGTGCAGTGGGGGCCCATGCCAAGAAACACCCTGCTTGCCTCCAGGGTGCCCTGGGTTTCTTGCGTTTCGATGGTTCTGCTGTGGAAAGGGCGACGCCCCCACGCCAAAAATCTGGGGACGCCCTGGGTCTCAGGGTGGCTGGGTTTCTCGTGGAAGGTTTCTGGTGGTCGGGCCCCCACTGAAGGGGCGTCCCTCCGACTGAACTACGACCTTCTCTGGGTCCCCGGGGGCGCTGTATTCCGACCCAGGACCCCCCCCTTCCGCACCCACGGGCGCTGTCATTTGACCCGGGCCCCCCCCCCCAGGACCACCCCCGGACCCACCAATTAGAACCAACCCTAACAGTTTCAGAATCAAGTCGGGCATGCCTCTCTGCAGGAGGAAGATTCAAAATTACCCCAGTGCGACCCTACCTAGAAGTTGGAGCCCCTAGGAAAGCAGCATTAGTTGCTAGGCTA